AGAAGTAAAAGCTTTGCAACAGTTAATTATAGTCATTTTTGCTGAAAACATGGCTTTTAGGTGACTCGGTAGAAAATCAATTCATTTCTTTACACAACTATGGATGAATCTCAAACTTTTCCCAATAAACCTCAACTTCATTATTATGGACTTAGAAGCTTATTAAACGAGGAAGTTTTTCTAAAAGTGGGGTAACTGTTGTACAGTTGAATGATGTTTAAAAAAATCACAAATAATTTATGACTTTTTTTTAAATAGAACTTAGCTGTGTTTGTCCGCTCCGCTCAATATCTTTATATAGTTTTAACAATGAAAAACTCTACTTTCATTTGAAGGAAATTTTGTATAGCTTACTATGGAGTAATGCTTAATAATGTTTTTTATATGTTATACTACAAAGGTTATTTCCTTTGTTTTGGTTTTTGATTTTTGAATGTGTTACTGAAGTAATGCTAATTTTTTTAGCATATTACTAATTATTAAAAAATAAAAAGTTTAGTCGAATAATTGAAATCACCTTTTATTTCTTTTTCTTTGTCCCTAGGAAGATGATGTTACATTAGATATATAATTGTTTGAAAATAATAAACCATTGTGAAATAATTTGCAGCGTTTTTTTTTTTTTTTTTTTTTTTTTTTGTTTTTTTTTAATGGAATTACAGTCGAATGTCTATTATCCTGTGTCATGATAAGGAGGAAAGTGCACACATAATTCAAAATCATGATAAATGATTTTTCTACTATATAAATAAACAGTTGAATTATATAGTATTAGAAAGAAAAATCATAGTGCAGAACAATAATAAATTTACAATTTACAATTACATTGTACATAAGTACAATTACAATTGTACATAAGAAAAAATAATGTGTGCATATATATATATATATATATATATATATATATATATATATATATATGTATGTATATGTATATATATATAAAATATTGAAAAGATAATGAAATCCTTAGAAATTTTTATAAATCTCAAATTAAGAGAGGAAACTCCTCTGTAAGATATCTGGAGCGATTTGGAATCTGAGTACTAATGCATGGAGTAGGAGAACCAATAAAGAAATGCTTACAGAAACTGGTCAGTCAAATATCCTGTGGTATGAAGGTTAGAGCTGTAGCTTCGAGGAATCTATCAGGACCTGTAGATTCTTAAGGAAATGTAGCATAGAGCAATCTATCCGAGAGCATATACACAATAGTGTTGGCAAGAGACCATGCGGAAGGCCGAAGACTAGATGGTTTAGATAGTTGTTAACACTAGTTTGAGGTGGCCATGCCTGCTGTGGCATTGATTGCTCTCCATTCTAGTGACCCTGTTTCAAACCTGGCCTGGGCGGATTGAAATTTATTTTGTGGAGGTCCACAGAATGAATCTTAACCTTTCCACTTCACTCCAGTGTTAACATCAAATCTATCCCTCTGCCTTAAATTAATAATTTATAAAAGCGTCCTAAAACCACCCTTCCATATCTTAGGGACTAAGAAAAAAATAATTACATATTATTTTGGAACTGAAATATTTACTTGAAAACAATGTTAGAATATGATTCAGTATAAAAAATATATATTAATGAACCCACATACCATATGTATTTGAGAAGAGAAATGTAATTTAATTTACACAAATATAATATATTTAATGTATGCTTGATCCAACATTCTTGCTCAGGTATGGTGTTTACTCTTCCTACAATTTAACATGGACTTAGGATATGAAATACAAATATGTTTTCTGATTTAGAAAAATAAAGCTAATCTGCTGCGAGATATTTGAGGTTCTACTACATATATCATTTATTATTTTAAATATTTAATGAAAAATTGTCATGGAGCAATGCATTGTGAAAAGTTGTTAACTATAAACTTTTTCTGCCTATCCGACTTGTAGTAAACCTGTAAGACACTTGTAAGATTTAAATATGTTACATATCATTTGCTAAGTATGCTTATACGGTCGACTTCTCTTGTTCTTATTTCAAACTTAAGATTTAAATATTAAACAAATATTTTATTTTTAAAATGTTACTGAGCAATTGTAATGAATTGGTACAGGATTAGATCTAAAGGATTAATTTCAAAGTCTATTTAGAATCTTTAAATTTACTAGAGTGATACCCCCTGTGTGCCTAATGACGGACCGACCCCCATTTTACAAATCATACAACTGTTCATTTAATTGTATTGGGTTGGCAAATAAGTCCTTACTGTTTTTAAGGGTGAAATATTTGACAGGTGTGTTCGGTTAAGGCATCTCACCCCCATAAACACTGCAAATTTTTCTATGAGCTTCTGATCATGCTTACATTTTTTAAAATAATACAGCAAAATATACCGATAATGAATGATATTTTTTTCCATATTCACAGTGCAATAGCAAACACAATACTAAGCTAGTTTCAACAAGAGTTAACAGATATAATTGTTGACATATTACAAAGAGGATAAACGATCCACCTTAGTGAAGTGTATCATAGTGACATAAAAATAAACAGAAAAACTGAAAGGACTTATTTGCCAACCCAATACTATGGGTTGCTCAAATTGTATGACTGTTTTTTACACATATTCTGTAGTTCAGATCGTAAAATTTTTTTATTGTCATAAAATAAACGGAATGAAACCAGTTTGGACAAATTTGTAATTTCTTTAAAAATCTATATTACACATCACACTTTATTTCTAATTTATATTATTATATAATTATAATTATTCTTTTTGGAAATTTGTAATCATTATAAAGTAGAAATACTTCTGGAAATTTGAAGTGTGATGTCTTTGTTACGTTCTATTCTGTTGTGGTATCTTCATTTCGCTCTATCCTGCTTTGTGTATGTTAAATAAAATATGACAGTCACAAAACATTTTTTATACAATAGAGAGATATTTATAAATTACCAAAATTATGTTGTGGGTTCTAAAACAGAGAATAAATAGAATATACATGGTGTTCCGTAAGTAGAGGGATATTTTTTTAGGAGTGATAGCAGACCTCAAGAGCTACTGAAAAGTCAAGCTAATTTTCAGCAGAAAAGTAGGAAATTTAAGTTTTGTGCTTTTTTAAATAAGTCTTGTTTTTAGTTGAATAGGAAGCGATAACTAAAGAAATATTTTATTTAATAAGTAATTAACAATGGCATCACTGTAAACTAGACAAAATAAAAATTACTTTAAATAAAAATAGAGTTTGTCATTTTGAAACCATTTAAAGAGGGCTTTTGAGCGGCTAAACTTAGCTGAGTTCTGATTTTAACTAATTCATAAATAATTTGCGATGGTTTTTTATCTTCATCCAACTATACTACACATACTCCACTTTTAGAAAAACTTTCTCCTTTAATAACTTTTAAGTCTATATTAATCAAGTTGAGATTTATTAGATAAAAACTTGATATTCACCTCAAGTTGTATACAAACATAATGTGATTTTTTATCCTGTCAGCTAAAAGTACCTACCCATGTTTTCAGCAAAAATGATTACAATCAACTGTTGCTAAATTTTCATTTCTTGTTTTTCCATGATCTGGGATGTATTATTATTGCCTAAATACACTTTTTATTGATAAAAAAAAATTCATAGTATGCTATCATTCCTGCAAAAATTTCCCTCTACTTATGGGACATCCTATATTCAGGGTTTTCGTGAAAATAATTGAAGCAATAAACAAGTTTTATTATTTTAAATGTAAATTTTAGGACGAGAAACATTATGTTTGTCACTTATAAACTTATAATGTACAGATCAATTCCTGTGACATAGATCTGGAATTAAAACACAGTTTTATAACCACTTTAGATGAAAAATCATTATTTTTAAATTTCTTATCGTTATTAATAAAAAGTGTATTTAGGCAATTATGTCTATTTAAATAGAAGATAAACAAAACATGCTTAACCAGTTTTATTTAATTGTTAAGTTTATTTTATTAATTTTTCAAATTAACTAAAACTTTTATTCATGAATTTTTTCGTTAAAATATAAAAGGCTTTCCCGTTATTATATTCTCCATTTTTCACTTCTTGGCACTTTAGATAAAAATGAAGTGTTATTTATCAATTTCACTCCATTTTTTTTTTCTTGCTGGTACTTTATTTTTAAAAAGTACCTGACTTCACTATCAAGTCTATGTTTCTGCTTGCACAGTCAAATAGAAAAATAGTTTTCATTGCTTTTCAGCTTCATAATATAATTATGGCTTAACACAGTTTCAAAATTTTATAGCTTACTCCAATTTAATTTAATTTTTTTCATTGCATAAAATATATTATGGATTTCCTCCCCTCTAATCCTACAAACCAACGAGTTTCATACTTCATCAAAATAACCATTTTTCCTTATACCAATTTCCAAGAAATCCTCAGAATCTAACTAGAGCTATGATGAAAACCCATTCTAGATCTATGGACCCAGTGGAATTTCTGCTAAATTTTTAAACCTATAATTTCAATCCTAGCCCCTTTATTCTGTATCTAACACTTTACACATAAAAAATAATTTTTATACCACTCTTGAAAAAGTACCTGTCACTTAAAGAGGTTCTAAAACATTGGGATTCATTAATTTTGGCTAATTATATGTCAATTATAGCAAACAAAATTATATGTATGTTATACACATTATGAATTGTATTGCATGTTATGTTGTCAGCATTTTATTTTTTAAAAATTCCATCATTTATCACCTAATTCTTTAAAGTGAATTACAATTTTTTTTTTGCTTATCACTTCCATTAATGCCTTACTAGTTGAGGTAAGTACCTAAACATAATTTAAATGATCCTTCCTAAGTTAATTATAACATTTGGGTATAAGATAGTTCAGCATTAATAACTATTTATTTCCTATTTTAACTTGTCTATGGTGGGTTCAGTAATATTAAAGATTATTTTCATTACAGTAAATTATAAAGCTATATAAATCCTTCATTCTTGATATTAAATTCTGTTCTTTTTTTTCAATATTTTAATTGTATTGCATTTATACACAGATCAGATCAAGTTCTTCAAAAGAAGAAGAAGAAGATGTTTTAGCTGAAAAAAAGAGAGTTATGCTTGGTGATACATCACAGGACATTCTTGTGATAAAAAATTTGAGCAAGGTACTAAATTTAGCTTTGAAATTGAACATTTTTTTAAATATGACGATGAGAATTGTGTAGTGGTATATATTGAGTCTTTTAATGATGCTGTATTACTCTATAGTTTTATTTTCTCACAGTCTGTATGTTGTGGTTGTAGGATTTCTAACCATCAGCTTAGGCATAACATAATTGATAAATCTATTTATTGCATTTTAATTTAATTCATTGGGTTGTTCCTTCAATATAACTATGTTGACTGATTAAATCGCATCCATTTTTGCTAAAAGAAATGTCATTCTTCCTGTTAAATTTGATTTTAGTTGCTTATCTATATTTTAGAAATTGAATTATAGATTAGTAATTAATTTAATGCACTTAATCAGTTTAATGAACTAGTCAATCAATTTTTTAGAGATCGACCGATATCGAAATTTCGGCCGTTACCTATATTAAAAAAGCCGACATGGCCGATATTTTGGCCATATCTGCCTTTTTTTCCTCCTTTTCGTCAAGGTTTGTACTGTTTCACATGTAATGTCCTACTTATTGCTAAATAAAAGAATAAACAAACCATCTACGCATCGCCTTGTAAGCAAATTTTGACCGATAAAAAAGAGATAAACCTATATTTTAGCATATCGGCCTTTCGTTTCTATGTCTGGTTCCAAACAACGTTGCATAGAAAGTTCTCGTAATTAATGCATGAAAGTATCAATCAATCATCTGGGGTTAGATCTATATATACATTTCAGCCTATACCAATATTCTAAAAACCAATATATAAAGACATTTTTTTTTATTATTCTCCTAACCCCAAAATTTGAGCTTTATACCAATATTCTAAAGACCATTATATTGTGACCTTATTTTATCAAGGTTCATACTTGGAATATTATTTTATACTATTATTGATAACATTTTTTTCGGTCTATTCCATGGACCATCATAACAGTATTTTGACCTTATTTTATCAGGATTAATAAAATTTCACTTGGAATATTATAGATGCTAATAATAAATGGGCCAACTAATTGCCTTGGAATCGATATAAACACAAATGTGAGTAAAGACCGATATATTGGCCTTAAGATTTAATTTTATCGAGATTGGTAGAGTTTGATCATTTTTATTTTGTGATTGTCTTCTAAATTTTTTTTCGGTCCATCACATGGACCGATATATCAGCCTTTTGACCTTATTATGTCATGATTCATGTAGTTTCACTTTGAATATTATTTATACTGATAATAAATGGGTCAATCAATCGCTGTTGAATTGATATAAACATAAACGTGATTAATGACCTATACTATTTTAATATAAACTATAAATATTAATGTTACTGCACATTTTACCAGTTGCTAAGCTTTTTTTTTTGGCAACTGTTGACCAAAAATATTATATATAATTTCAGTTAAGAAAAATCCTATTTATCACAAAAGTTCATAAGAAAAATCACAAAGGAAATAAGAAAAATCTGATTTATCACAAAAGGAGAGTACAAAAAAAAAATCGTTTTTTTGAAAAAGTTGAATACATTTCCCAGAGTTTTGCTGTACATGAGAAATTCATGTACAATTCCAAGTTTTTGGGTAATTCCAGGCCGCTGGACTCCCTGAAAGACCCCTTTATCAGCATACTGGCATACCTTTCGTTTTTGTTCACTCTTGGTAACTTTCAGTGAAATCATTAATTCCTGCAGCTCCAAGTAAAACTCATTGAATTTTGATAAAGTAAGGTTTAAAGGTCGCTTTATAAGTAAAAAAAAAAAAATTTATAAGAGGTACAAAAAATAAAAATAAATCAACCAATAGTCAAACTTTACTTATCTGGAAAAATAAGTTCGTGAGGCCAATATATTGGTTGTTGAAATATCAGAATCTGCTCAAATCAGGGTAAAGGGAGGATGAGAAAAAAAATTAAATAAAAATTTTTCAAAGTCCATCAATCTCAATAAAATAAGGTCATGAGACCGATATATCTGTCTTTGCTGAAATTTATGTTTATACAGAACTTTTGACGTTTGATTGATACATTTATTAGCAATAAAAACAATATTCAATGTGAAAGAGGCCGATATATGGTTTTTTGCTGAAATTTATGTTATGTCTATGCAGATCTGTTTAAGTTTGATTGACACATTTATTAGCAATAAAAACAATATTCAATGTGAAAGAGGCCGATATATGGTTTTTTGCTCTAGTTTACGCTATGTTTATGCAGGCCTGTTTATGTTTGGGTGACACATTTATTAGCAATAAAAACAATATTCAATGTGAAAGAGGCCGATATTTCGGTAAGACATCCGTGCTTTAAAAAAAATAATAATAAAAACGAGTTATCTGCATATAGACGTTTGTTGTATTAATATCAGTATCGTTTGATCTCTAATATATATGTATGAAGGATTTTGTTTTGGTCTTGATGATGCGTGGCCTAACCATCGAGGGAACAATTCAGCCATTATTATTTTTAACCATTATTAAGACTTGCAATTAACTAGAAGTAATGTAAACTAAAGTTGTTTTAAATTAACATTAAATTATTCAAATTAATTATATCTTCTAATTATATTCATAATAAGTTTCCTTAATATTTTTTGGATTATCAGTTTTGAACACCACCTCTCTGAAAATTCTTAGTTAAAAATAAAAATTATAAAATCCATAGTAATAAACTAGGAGGCCTAGGAATCATGAAGGTTTGATGGAAGTATCACCAATTACTACTTACATACCTATTCTCTGCTTACACACTTCAGTCAACCTTGGACATTTATCGCTCAGTTCTGCGAAAATTAACTTTAAGAGATTCATTGACTTCCACGCTCCACAACTTTACATATCCATTTCAACTACCCTGATTCTATTAATTCAATTATATTAGTCAGGAGCATGCTCTGAAAATCTGTCATATAACATCTTAAATTCAATAGTGGATCCATTCTTCTTTGTGCTAAATATACTATGTATTATTTTATTTTAAAAACTTTATAGTGTCATTCTTCCTTCAAAGTAAGTGACCACATATTATACAATTATAAATAACCGTTAAAAGAATAATAATTTTATAAATTCCATCTTTCAGGTTTCTTGAAATTAAGCACAAACTAATTAATTTTACAATTGACTAATTACAAGTGTTTAATTATTAACAAGGATCCATACTTTATTAGCAAGGATCTTTTGTAGTCAAAGCTGTGATCTGAAATTTATGACCTAATTGTTCCTTGGATTAATAGGCTAGGCATCATTGAAACTCAAACAAAATCCTGTCTATAATATCTTAATATTTAGTACAACATTTAAAATAACAAATGATTTTTTTATATTATTCAGATAAGAAACTAAAGAAAACATTTTATCCTATTTAAAAAAATACAATTTTTTAAAAGTCCAACAATGGTGAAAAAATAATCCATAACTAATGGTTATAATAGTGGATAGCAGCTTTCATAATTAGAATACGATTTCATTTTTGTATCCATTCAATAAACTTTGAACATCACTCTGCCATGAATGAATGACATCCAGCTCATTTCTTCAAAATATCTAACTTAATGATTCACCAAAGACATTTTATCTTGATCATAGAGTTCATTTAATCTTTTTTCTTTTAAAGATTTATAAAAGAAGCGAAATTCCATCAGTGAATCAGATATCATGTGGTGTAAGGTCTGGAGAATGTTTTGGGCTTCTTGGTTTGAATGGTGCTGGCAAAACTACCACTTTTAAGGTTTGATATTTATTATAACTTAAAATAATGACATAATTCTTTTTAACATGCATATATTGCACAGTTGTCTTTTTCAGATGTTAACAGGTGTAATATCTTGTACAGATGGGGATGCAATGGTAATGGGTCATAGTGTTAGAAAGGATATTAATAAAGTTCGATCTCTTCTTGGTTACTGCCCACAATTTGATGCCTTAGATCCTCTACTGACTCCTTATGAACATCTGATTTTATATGGCCGCATTAGAAATATACCATCTACAGTTTTAAATAGAGTAATTGTATTATATAAATTATAATTATTTTTTTCATGATTAGTAAGCATAAAAATAGTTTAATTATCCGTCCTTAGAATAGAGTAGTAAACTTGCATATATAATCGCTGAATTCAGATCATTTTTTTATATTAAATCTCAAACATTATCATGTGCTAGTACAACCTATTATAAAAAAAAAGAAAGAAGCTCATCCTGCAATAACAACAGTTAATTTCTGTATTTTTTTTTTAAATTCATAACTGAATTTTTTATTCCAACTGTTGATACGAGTTTTTTACAAAAAATCATTGATTTCTGAGACCAGTGATTGACTTTACATGGAATGAACCCACATGTTAATATCTGTATTAGTGTATAATTTTCTTTAACAAATAAAGAAATTCTTTCATCATTTTATCATTTGACTTAAATTATATTGTTCTCAGAGAGTTGAAGATTGCTTAGAACAAATGAACCTTCTTCATTATTCATCAAGGCTTGCTGGTACTCTGTCTGGTGGCAACAGGCGCAAATTATCTACAGCCATTGCCTTAATTGGAAATCCACCGCTAATATTCTTAGTAAGTTAATGTTTATTACTCTTTCTAGTGCAGTGACCTTGTCATGAAAAGGGGGTGTCTACCATTAAATGGGTCAAGTTGCATAATTTATTTATTTATTCTCAACCCTCCCCTGCCTCAAGGCAATACAAGTATTTGCAGCAGTGGGGTGTTACTGTTACATAGCAATTGCTGCATTTTTAAACTATTACATTTCTCTTCCCCAGCTGGGCACACAGCTTGCTTTATCCTTTACTTAGGACAAAGAAACCTGTCTCCCTCAATAGCTTAGCTCTCATTGACTCATATATGGCACAGGTTAGTACATGCTCAGCAGTCTCTGACACCCTACAACTTGGATATATGGGATCGATATTTACACTATAATCAACGAGCTTCGCTCGAAAACATCCATACCCCGTGAAAATCTGTGATACCCAGTACTCCGGGAGCACCCAAGATGCTTCTAGCTCTTCCAGTACTCCTAACAATTCATTGAAGACTATTTTCCACAAGGCAGGACCTAGAACAGAACCCTGAGGACAACTTCTTTCCATAGAGTCTTCTACCTCAAAGAAGTTACCCTGTATTCTTAAAGTTCGGTCCTGATGATAAGTCCTCAATAGCTCATGAAAGTTGCTGAGAGCTTCATACTTCTGCAACTGTTGGAGTAGGTGCAGGCACCAAACACTATTGAAGACAGAGGTAATGTCAAGCAGGAGAAAGCTAACATACTTTGAACACTGTCTGTGCACTCTCAGCAGGCAGTCTGCGGTTTCCCTACCTTTAGTGGATCCGTACTGCTGTGGATGGCTCGCTCTTGAGAAAACTGGTCATATGTTCAGCTTCTTAGTAAGAATCCTCTATCTGGACTTTCATTGAATAACTCCAACAGCGTATGTTCTAAATAGGGGATACTGTATTTATATAAATTATTATACTTTTTCCTTACTAGAGATGTAGAATATATATTTTAGTATTAGTTATAAATTCTTTCTATCTATTTTTTTAAACCATAATTTTTCTCCAATGAATAATATTATGGCATTGGATACATTTTATTTTATTTATAATTTTTATATTTAATCAATAATGTATTAAAGTTTAAAAGGCCACAAATATATTTCACAAATAATCAATCTTTTTAACTAAAAAAATGTAGTTTTAGAAATGCCATTCAAGTTTAATAGCTGGGAACCAAAATGTGAAATAAAACAATAAACATTAAAACAACTAGCCTTTGAAAAGGACTTTAAATAAATTATTATTTTTAACATGTACTGCCACCAAGTGGTACATTGTATAGTATTTTAAAATATATGTATTTTGACTATTTGTTTTTTTTTTACATTATTTTTTTATTAGAATTTCTGAAAATGGCTAATCAGGCCAAAATGTAAAAAAAAATTTTCATTGCTTAATCTTATCTTGAACATTAGTTATATTGTTAAGTTTTTTATTATTGTTACAAAGTCAAAAAATTAATATTTTTGTTGACGTTAAATTTTTTTATGTTTTCAGTTATACTTGATATACTATATATTTTGGTTTGCAATATTATTTATTCCAATTTTATGAAACTTTTACTGCATTATCATTTATTAATTGGTTTGCGAGGATAAAGTTTGTTATTTAATATTTCAAATACCTTGCCTTAAATTTTCTTTTTTTATTTAAACAATGATGCAAAAGCCATGGATTAAAATGTATAATTGAATGAGATATTTACAATGTTATGTATCAATTACAATTTATAATTATAATTTCTGAAACAAATTGCAAAATAAATAAATGATAACTTAAAGATATTGAAATCATAGATGCTAAATTAAAAATTATGCAGTTTTCCTTGATTGTATTACGAAAAAAAAACTTCGGTTAATAAAAGGCTATTTACTATTAAACGTCACTAATTATTTTTCTACATTAATGAAAGTGGATTCGATATTTAAATCGCAATAATAATTATTAGTCGCTAGCAATAAAATGTAAATAGCTATTATTGTCATTTTCTACTGTATTTTGAATTACTTATTGAATAAATAATATCGTAATTAATATTTATTAATTAGGAAACCTGAGAAAACATTCTTGAAGAAATATAACTATTAATTTTGATGTATAATGAATACATACAATATAATTAAATGGATCACAAAAATTGAAGATGAATGACAGCAATTCACAGAGATAATCAGTCCAATGATAGGTATATGTTTTCAAGCTGAAAAGTAAAACCGTCGTATCATATCATAATGGTTCCAATGTAACCACAACCTAAGATTTTTGGTATTATATATATTAAAGATAAATCATTGAATTCACCAGTTTCAAGATAGGATAGGAATAAGGGTTATTTTGCCTTGTTCAATATTGTCCTATTTAAAAGTCCAAAGTACATAAACTCAGCTCAAGTAAATATTATTAATGTTAAACAGAAACATAGTATTTTGATGAAGACATAGTGTATAAAAAAAATTTTTTTTTGAAGAAACCACCATGATTTTAGAAAGAATATCTAAAAGAAATGAAACTCAAGATAGAATAAAATAAAGCTGTAATTTAATCTGTCTCTCCACATAATATCTAACAATGGAATGATTATGGTGCCTTTATAAATGTGACTTATAAGATACATGGAATCTTCGACTCATGATAAGTGATGGAGTAATTTATAGTACAGTCGGTTGATCCTCTTACTGAACAGTTCAGGAGTTTTAATTGTTTTATAATAATAACAGACTTAGTAACTTACTGAATTATCCATCTGGGGTCAATCTATTCATCTGGCATCTCTAACTAAAGATGTGAAGTATTGTTTACTTTATTTATTTAAAATACATAAAATAATCTCTTACCAATTAGTTGGTTTTTTCTTAAATTTTTCTTTTGTCAAAAAACAATGTTTTCTTTTTTAATATTATGTTAAGCCGATATGATATTACAAATCTGAATTCAAATATCTTTTCACTAACTAATTAATTTTTGGCTATGCATTATTATTATTATTATGTATTTAGGCTTATTAAAAAAAAATATTTGAAATATTTCTCTGTTGTGTTAACAAATCAGGACGAACCAACCAGCGGTATGGATCCTAAGGCTAGAAGATTTTTATGGTCTTGTATTCAAGATATTATTAAAGGAGGAGGTTGTGTCATGTTAACTTCCCACAGTATGGAGGAATGTCAAGCTCTTTGTACCAAATTAACTGTAATGGTTTCTGGTACATTTAGGTGTTTTGGTACATCACAGCATCTTAAAGAAAAGTAAGTTTATTATAATTGTGTGGATATTAATTTTATCATCCAGCAATGAGCATGTGGATTATTGTAGTATACATTGAATTCATAACATTTTATTATTACCTTAAAATATTTTTGTTGTTCCTGTGCAGGTATGGTAGGGGATATCGCTTCATCATTAGATGCAAGGAGGAAAATATTATTAAATTGAAGATAGATATTATGAGCTTATTTCCTTCTGCTAAATTGGTTGAAGAACATAGTAACCAGTTACGATATGAAATAATGGGACTGCAACTTTCACAACTATTTTGGGAAATGGAGAAATTGAAAAAAACATCTCTATTGCTAGATTATTCAGTTTCCCAAACAACACTTGAGGAGGTGAATATATATATATATTATTTATAATTCTTAAAGTACTATTATTGTACAATTTTGTGGGGCCCGGTACATGCCATATGAGCGGGAACCCTTTCTTATAAAACAAAAAGAAATTTTTGATTGGAAGGAATATTTGTGAATGATACAACCTTTATGATGTTAATTCCGTTTTATTTCTTCCAAATTTATATTCCAGAAGGGGCATGAATTTTAGTGGGTTATTTTATTAATGATAAGTTGTAACATACAATTATTTGTGGAGGGTCCTGTCTCAGATCTGTAGATTTCTTGCCTCTCTCCTCTGCCGCCGTTGTCCCATGGCTCGTCTAAGCCGTCTCGTCGCTGCCTTCATCTGGTGCGATTCGTGGAGCCAAATGGCTGTTGCCTCTCTCTCTGTTAGCTGTGAGCTGCTTGAAGTCGGCAGAGCAAGTGAGGACGAGACCGTGTGCTTTGTCAAGCACCTGGACTTCGTTCGTAGATAAGGCCGTCCTTGAGAGGAGGTAGAACAATAAAAAATTATAGATGTACTTCCAACAATTATTCTTAAAAATAAATGGATTTCAGATACTTCTTTATATAACTTAACACTAAGTTTATAAACAAATTATACTGTTTGGTTTTATATATTTGATTGTTAAAAAATAAATATAAATTTTCAAGTTTATTTATTATCAGTACCATGTATTTGGGAATATTGGGAAACATCATTGTATATGTTTAAAATAAATAGTCTTCCCCTACTCCTTTAAGAATAACCACTCACGAAACTGAAATGAGGCTGATGAGATGTCGGTGACACATTATAAGGTAATTTTAACTTATTTGAATCATTTAATAATAAATAATTGAGTAATAATAATTTTATAAAATAATTAAAGGTGGACATGACAAAAATAATTTTTTTTTTTATGAGTAGACGCATGCAATTCACATAAGTTGAAAAGGAGAGGTACATGATTGGTATTTTAGGTATATAAAAAAAATCTCTACATATATGTTGAAGTATGTAATGTTTTATGATAATAAATAAACTTGAAAATAAATAGTATGCACCTGAAGAAGAATTGGAGAAATATTGTGAATACATATAAAATTCTACCTACAATTATTTTGACAAATAAGTTTCTAATTTGGTTGATTTTTGAATAATCTTCTTCATTATAATTTAAACTTAATAATAATCAGCGTATAAAAGGCATACATGTTCACAAAGTAAGAGTACTCAATTTTTTTTTTTTTTGAAAAAATTATTTACTAAAACATAACTTATTTATTTAGAAAGTTACTTGTTTTTTCACGTAATTGCCTTCCCTTTCTATGCAGATTATAAATCGTTGAACAAACTTCTCTCCTCACAGAACTGTCCCGCCATCTCCTTTGTCCACTTCAAGATCTCTTGTTTCACCTACTCAATAGTTAGAAATTTTTTTTCCATCCATGTGAGCCCTCAGGAAGGTGAAAAGATGAAAACCTAGAGGTGCCAAGTCAGAGGGTGTATGCAGGGTGGTTCAAAACATCCTCATTAAACGACTTCAGAAGCATCTTGATGGCGATCAAACAAACCTTGGCCGTATGTGGAACGGCGTTGTCTTGCAACTAACACATTCCCTTCCATATCTTTTGAATTGCTTTCTTTAGCTTTTGTAGGATTTCACAGTATCGTGCTACAGTAATCGTCTTCTCCTGAGGTAAAAAATTGATAAAATGATCCCTTTTTGGTCTCAAAATATGGATACCATAATTTTTGTTTACTGAATTTGAGGTTTTGAATTTTTTGGTAAATGGTGATGAGTGTGCCATCACTGTGATGGTGATGACAGTTTTAGTACTGATGTCTGGGTTCATCATAGACTGATGATAAGGGTCATCCTTTTGATTATTTCTTCTGTGTTCGGGGAAAACCATGTAGGAAATTTGTACCAGTTCTGTTTATCAAAATCATCCAATAGTTTCTTTAAAAAATTGTTAGTATCTCTGCATAGATAATTTTATGGATATATACTTTAATGAGAACATAAGCTTTCTAAAATCTTGAAGCTCAAGGTCAAGATTATGATCAACATGGTTTGAAGGTGATTAAATCATGAATGTTACATTTTCATTGGGGCTGTATAGTTCTTATGTTATGTTAATGCTGGAAGTAAAAGTTTTCCTTACTATTTATGGAAACTTCTAACCCTTGAAGATCAAAATTAGTGGGATCCTTTCAAAGTATAATGTATTGTAGTATATGCATCAAAATATTTAATACCAATGCATTGTGTAGATTTTGTTGTTTTTATATTTTATTATTATTATTATTTAAAAAATTTCTAGGTTTTTCTCACATTTGCTAATGATGTCCCTGAAGAAAGATGATCTTCCAGATTTTATCAATCTTAAAAGTTTATCAGTCCTCTTCAGTTCAGGTAAAAGTATTAATTTAATTTTCTTTGATTGATTAAAGTTATTGTTTTGTTTTAAATACAAGTACAGTGCTTCTTATGCATTTAATAATAAAATAATCATTCCATCAGATAAATTTAGATAATTTTTTATGAGTTAAAGTTTTACAGAATCATTTTATAGTTATTTTTTTAAATTACTAAGTGACGATCAATAAATACAAATAAATAATTAGTAGCTATTACCAACAAAATATTGTATGCTAGATTATTTTAGTGACTAATCTGTTTTATAATTTTGTTGCTGTTAATAATAATAAAGTTTTTATTAACAGATTTAATATAAAAAAACTAATATATATATATATATATATATATATATATATATATATATATATATATATATATATATATATCACTGCGCTATCCAGATATAATAACGAATCAATTTCCCATCAATATCCTTATTTTTATCTAAATAATTGATTTTAAAGTTTCGTATACATTATTATCAATTCTAGCGATATTTTATGTTTACATTTTTATTGATTCATACATTTGGCATATAATTCACAAACATGTAAAATAGATTGAAGGCCTCTACTAAAGACAATTCACTTTACTTTTAGGTGAGGAGTGTCGATTACATTCCTTCATCAAAGGACAGCGTTTCTAGCTTTACCTGATTATATTCAAAAGTAAGAATGAATGAAGTGATGAAATCCCTCTAAAAGAGTTAACTTAATATAGATGAATAGTTTTCATTTTACTACCTCACCACATGAAATTTTCAAGATACCTTGAATAAAAAGTATTGTTGTATGATATAAAAATAAGGAGTATATATTTATTAAATTTGTTTTATAAAAATAGAAAAATTGTTAGCTTTGTTTTTTTATGTTTTACTATTTCATAGTATAGGTATTAGTATTGGAATTGATTGATTTGAATACCTTTAAAAAATTGTTAATTTCTAAAGTATTTATTATATTGTAAAAGTATATAATTGTATTTATGTTAAAAAAAGTACTATAAAATATAAATAAATCTTAACTGTTACATTCGCAAGTGTCCACATGTTATTTTTTTAAGCCCTAAATAATCCAAAAGCTTGTCAAATGAAAAATTTGCATTAATTGTATTATGGATGTATATTAAATTTGAATGATCATTTCTTATAAAGTGCCAGTTAAATCATCATCAGCGAAATTGCTTCTGAAGCACAAATTGCTCATCCTGTTGAGGTTACACTATATATTATTCTATGTACCAGGAAGGAAATATTGAAATCAGCTATGGGCTTATAGCCTTTCATAGCTAATGATGAAACTTCCTAACTCAGTATTAATGTGTAAAATAATATTAAGTTTAATAATATGTTTATTATAACATATTATTATTAATTTAATAATATGTTTATTATATCATATTATTATTAATTTAATAATATGTTAATTAAGTTAACTTAAAAAAACAAAAAACCTATCACAACTTTAAAGTTAGTGTTTATATGCATTTATAACCTGGCCCAAAGAGTAAGGAAGGAAAGCAGGTTATGCCAAATTAGTATTTATTCATGCCAACCAATAACACGCTAATGAATGACAAAGAAAATCAAAACTTTATTGGGTTGTTCCAGGAAGCAAATAAAATATTATTCCATCTAATCTGCCATAAGAAACAAAAATGCTAATCAATAATTGCAAGTAGGGGTCACAGTTATTGAAATATTATTCAAGAGGTTACTATAGAAAAACAGGACTGTCTGGGGGTGATAACAATCTTTAAGAACATGGACAGAGGCATGTACTCACTATGCAACAGCTGCTTCAAATTTTAATGTAACAGATATCGATGGAAGCAGTTTTCTTCTTCTTGACTTACATCGCTATTATCCTTATCATAACTATAAAAATTTTAATTTTAATTGTCATAAAGCTAATCATTGGTATAAAGTGATGTTTGTACCTATCTCAAAGTATTCATGCTCTGCTGAAATTTTTATCTTCTGTAAACTAAAATCAGAACATGATTATTTTCACAATTACTTCATTTTGAAAACATCAACTCTGTTATGAACTGCATTATCTCCTCAAAATGTATTACAAATAAAAGATCGATTTTGAGAAATAATAATTTATTCCAAAATATACCGTTCCCTTGACACATTAGGCCACACTCTGCGAATAGGTTTTTTTCTCCTCCTCATTTCTCGCTTGAACAATGGTGATCTGCTAAACCCTATTTTTTGTGATTTAACACATTCTGTTGTCTCTGGTGTAGATGGACAGTGAGGTATAGTTAAATACTCTATAGTAATGCATTCTAATGTAGTTGTAGGTATACACTGTGTTGTAGTTGTACACTGCGTTGTAGTTGTACACTGTGTTGTACTTGTGCACTCCGGTGGATTAGTGCACTGTAGTTTAGTTGTGCACTCTGGCGGAGTAGTGCACTCTAGTGTAGTTGTGCACTCTGGCGCAAGAGTACACTGTAGGGTTGATGTGCACTCTGGCGCAATTGTGCATTCTGACATATTTTTCTTTTGTGTTGAAGATTTGTTGTGTGTTGACGATTCGAAATGTGTTGTCGATTCAAAATTTGTTGTTGACGTGACCTGTGTGCTTGCTGTGCTCTGTTTCTTGGACATAGGAGTTTGGAAATGAAACCCTGGAACATGTGCCTGTGAAAAAAAGAAAATATACATAATTACATTCAATGTAGGACTTCCTAAAAAAATATTACAGCACTAATTATCACAGTGCAAAATTAGCATGGTTACTCTAAACACAGTAGGGGTCAAATAAAAGGGATACATTGTTCTACTCTGAATGTTAACTAACTTCTCTTCAATTTTATTTTTTTGTAAATTTGTTGCTATACTATTTTCAGATGCGTTTGTTTCAATATTTTCTGTAGTTAATTCATCTTGTTGGGCTACTATAAATTTCCGTTGTACCCTTTATTTGTTTTAGAGCAGCCTACACAACATTTTAGAATCAACTAACTTTCAAATTACTTAAACTAATTCCCTGGTGCTATAGGTCAACATGACTCTTAGTCTACAGAGTTATCCTTTTTCATTTCTTGTTGTCCTGTTTCTCAAATATTACATCTGCGGACTCTATGGTTCATTTATCTCCACTTCATTCTTGGAGCCAATGCCTCCTCATAAAAACTTTATAGATAAAAAAAAAAAAGATTTAAAAGAAATGGAGTTGTTATTAATGATAAAAGTCTTTTCCTTCAAATTTCAGGTTTTGACTCAATATCTGGATCCATTATTTGTTATGATGCCCAGATTAGGGGATTTAATAATTATCAGACATAAAGAATCTTTTTGCTTTTCTTTTTATAATGGTTTGATCTAGAAGTATGACCAGAAATGTATTATAATAAACAAAAATACACTTTTTATTTAATAAAAAAAAGTGTTAACAATACTGGTTTTTCAAATATTTATCGTCTAATGAGCCAGTGTTTTTTATCCTATATTATGGGAATTGACCCTTTTCTGTATTAAGTAACATAATTGTTACTAATCCTATCATTTGTTTTCACAAAAACAATTCAAGCAATTAGTGGGTTAATGTATTTCTTTTTTTTTTGTTACCATGCATTGGTATTGATGTATTCCATTTCTTGTGGCAAGAGTATTTTCATATGCCTGGTTATGCCTATTTCTGAAATAAAATATCCCATTCCTTGTAAATGCTGCTTATTCAGAAAAAAAAATCTATCCTTGGGATTTAGGGTTTTCTTCCTTGAATTACCAAATGTTTCAATATTGCATCCAAATGCAGCTTACATTACCAAGAGGCGTCAATACCAATTAAAAATAATAATTCATTATTATAAATTAATGTTTCTAAAAAATAATTTTAGAATTAATTCATGAATAGCATGAACTTTTTTTTCATGAAAATGTAAATATTAGGTTTAGAAACATTTAGTTAGTCACATAATACAATTAGAATCAATTGTCATTATAAAAATCGGGTAAAAAACACTGCTTCATTATTACTTATGGTGATAAACGTTTGAATAAAACGTGTTTAAAATTCTTTTTATAAATAAAAAGTTTATTTTTGTTACTATATTTATTATAATACATCTCAGGTCATATAAATATAAAAAAATTAAAGCTTTGCAATAATTTATTTTAGTCACTTTTTCTGAATACAGAAGTACTTTTGTGTGACAGAATATTAATCAGATCCTTCTTTTACATAGCTAGAGGCGAATATTAACATATGGAGTAACAAATATAAACTTAAAACTTATTGAACTAGGAAATTTTTCTAAAAGTGGAATATCTGTAGTCTAGTTGGAAAGTGCCAAACAAAATTGTGAATAATCCATAATTTTAAGAAAAACAAAACAGCATAAATTAATCACTTAAAATGCCTCTTTGCGTTAAGTTTTAACAAAGACAAATTCTACTTATACTTAGATCAATTTTTGTCTAGTTTACTATGAAGTCAGTGTTACTTAATAATAATAATAATAATAAGGCTTAGCGAACCCGAAGGTTCGATGCCGACACCACCAATCGCTTGTTACACACCTCCCTCCACCGTTCGCCGTCCAAACCCAGTCCCTTCAGATCGGCTTTAGTCAGTGTTACTTACCTAGATTAAATATTTTTTTATTTATCCCTTTCTTTTTAACAAAAAACACGACAATTCTTACTTTTATGTAGAACATAGGACAATGATTTATTTGAAATATTTTGTAACTGTTAAGGCCTATCATCTCCTCTTTAAATATTTACCTTTTCTTACGGGACAATCTTTATACATTATGAAGGCACATACTCATATAATGAATTAATTTAAAAGTAAATAATTAATCTGAAAAAAGAAATGGAAATAAAATAGGTACATTTAGTTTTTGGAACAAATGTTGAGAGTTTGGTTCCATTATACATTTAATTAAACACAGAGTGTCCCATAGAATCAACAATTATATCACACCGAGTGATGTTAGCTTTTTTTTATCCCCTCCAACTCAACTACAGTTATCCCACTTTTAGGAAAACTTCTTTGTTTAATAAGCTTTAAGTTTAGATTTTTTATAGAATAAATTAAGAGACACCTTCAATTAAATAAACAAAATTATGTGATTTGATATTTGTCAAAGTGCCTATGTTTTTAGTAAAAATAATGACAATATGTCATTCAAAAGCTTTAATTTATTTTATTTTTTCTATGAACTGAGATGAATTACAGTCAGTTAATCACAAAATTACAATTTTTATTTGAAACATTTTTTTTTTTAAATAATGCTTTTGCAAAATTTATCATTTTAGATTGTTATGAATATGTGTTTTTACACAGATCTGAGCATTGATCCTTATTGTATTATTATGTGACCAAAAAAATGTCGTAGAATCTTTTTTTTTTTTTTTAAATATTATTTTACAATTATAAGCTGTTGATTTCAATTCGTACTGACGTCCAGTTGGTAATGAAAGTTGCATTCCTTTATAATTTTGAAGGATCTGAAAATTCAAGGAAGAAAACAATACTTCCATAGGGATATCTCAAGAAGCAACATTTACGGGGATTATCAGATATTTTATTTCAGAAATGGGTATAATCAGGCAAATGAAAATCTTCCTGCATAAGGCATAGCGGACATCGATGTCAACTTAAAATTATATCTTTTTATTGATTATATTTACTTAAAAAAATAAAGATGATAAACATTTATGAAATAATTATATAAAAAGAAAAAGGAAATTTAAATAAAAAGGGTAATTGTTTGATTAATTTACTATAGTTTATTCATCCAGATTATAGAAAAGAAATGAAAACTATTAAATAAATTACTGCTATTATTTTTGCTAAAAACTCAGGCATTTAAGGATAACATAACATCAAATCATATATTTTTTTATATAATTAAAGATGAATCTCGTCTCATTTCAACTTCAAACTTCAACATAATTAATATGAACTTCAAAGGTGTACGCAGCTTTCATATTAGAGGGAGCTTTATTTTTTTTTTAAATAATTAAATATTACAATTTATAAATATTTTTATATGAAATACAATAAATATATAACAAAGAACAACAACTTTTAAAAATTAGTTTACTCTAATTTTCAGCAAATCTTTTGTATTGTATTGTTTCATTTTCTTTAAAAGTATTTAGGGGCCCCTGCTTCCCCATCTCCCCCCTGCGTACACCCATGATGAACTTGAACTTTATTAAACAAGAAAGTTTTCCTAAAATTGAAGTAACTATAGTCGAGTTGGAGGATTTAAAAAAAATCGCGAATAATTAATGATTTTATAAAAATACAAAACGGCGTGGTTCAGCCACTTAAAAATTCCCATTAAATAGTCTTAAAAAACAGAAACTCTACTTTCATTTAGAGTAAGTTTTGTCTAGTTTACTGTGAATCAGTTGTTCATTGTCTCAATTCAGAATCTTTTTAGTTATCGCTTTCTTTTAAAAAAAACGACACTTACTTAGAATACAAAACTTAAGTCTCTAACTTTTCTGCAGAAAATCGGACCATGGTTTTTATGAAATTTTTTGTAGCACCTAAGTTCTAACATTATAATATCTCTTTAAATATTTCTCTTTACTTTCGGAGCATTCTCTATGTATAATTTATAAACGCATGCACCCACTTATGAATTAATTTAAAAATAGATAATTAATTGATAAAAACGATAAAATAGGTAAGTATAACCATAGTAACAAATGTATAGAGTTTGGTACTATTATACATTTAAGTAAACTTTGAAAAATAACGCACAAAATTTTTATGTTTATTTAATAAATAGATGTAACCTTTTATTGCACAGTGGACCAAGAGAACATAATAAGAGTTACTTTTTAATTGATAAATAATAAACACTAAATATAATTAGAATTATTTAAATAGTTTTATTTAAGAAGTAAAATATTTAATTAAATTTATTTAAATAGAAGTACTTACTTGAGCATGTAAATAAATAAATTTCCCTGTTCTGCTCTCAACTGTGCTGTCTACTACGAATATATTATATGTATTATACTAAGTATGAAATAGTATTATTTACATTGCAAAAAGTTTACAAATTAATTCAATTAGCTTACTAATTTTTAGTTAGCTTAGATTAAATTAATCTAAATAGATAGTTGTTTACCATAAATATGCAGTTCTTTTGGTTATTAACTGTTGACTTGTAGTTAATTTTACAGCTAAATTATCTGTTAGTTGATTAATTTAATCTTAATCTTTAGCTAACTGAATTACAGCTAATTATTTTTTCATTTGGACGGTTCTTTAGAGTTATTAATAAATATTTATCTGAGTGATCTATCTATTTTGTTTATACCTACTTACAATATTTATTGAATCTTTAGACTTTTCTTTTTTAGTCATATTTTTTTACCAAATAGAATAAACTTACAATGTACCAAAAATCTTCAGAGGTGAGTGGCGGTCCATTTTATATCTCTTTTAGAATCCCTAGAACAGGATTGTGGAAGTTTCAGAGATGTTTGATATAAAGAACTGGCCAAAAGTATATATATATATAATTTTTTTTTTCGGTTACATTTCGTAACCTTTAGCAGTTTTTATTAGGATTAAATTTGTTGCTATTCCGGCTTAGTGCGATTTTCAGAAGAATGCTAAAAAAAATTAATGTAAATTTCGTCATGACTAAGTATTTTTGCCT